AAAGCAGTAACCTGTTCATTAATTCACCTCTTACTGGCTTGTTTCTTCTCTTTGTCTTGTGTTCTTTACTCTCAATTTGTATTTCTTGGACTTGTCTTCCAGCAAGACTCAAATCTGTGTTCCAGGGTCTAAATACATAAATGACCTCACTAACATATGGTGATTTGCTCTCCTGCTTTGGAAAACAGCTAGTTGTCTGCAGAAAGCAAACTAAAAGAGACATACCCTCATCCCTTCTACCTGGGTTGTGAAAAATCACTGGGATCATTATTTAATGACTGAGAGTGAGTACTTAATGATCTCCTATTGATGCAAAGGGTTGTCCTGCATGTTGTGGGGTCTAGCCTGGAGGACCTCACACTTGCAAATGGGACTTGAAATGTGAAAGAAATGATGAGAATACCACATTAAAGGGGCTGCTTCTGGCAGACTAGTGTCTCATCAATACCCACAATCCCTCTTCATGTTTTCTAGTTTTAACATGTTTGGCTGAGAACATGTACAGTTTCAGAAACCCAGTATTGCCTCTCAGGTCAGTCCAGTTTGGGACGTGGTGACTGAGCCTTGTGGGTGACAGATTGAACACTGAAAGGCAAAGGATATGCTTCTCTAAGTGGCTGTTCCTTCAATCAGGTGGACACCGTATGTCTCAGATAAACCCAGAACCCAAATGTGCGTCCCTGCTGACCCTTGATCTTGCAAAGCATGTTCCCACCTCCAGCCCTGCTCTCAAACATTTATATCGTTCAGTCCCTCTGAGTTTTAAACTCTGTCTGTCTACAGCCTGTTCCTGCTGTCCTGTATGACATCACCCCCTACATTTTCATGCTGTATTGTCTTCCTGTTTTACTCTCTTTCCCCCCTTTTTCCTTCTTTCCATGTGTTTGTGTATTTTATATGTATGCATATGTATGCATGCTTGCATATGCATGCAGGAGGAGGCCTTAGATTGATGTTGGAGTTGTCCTCAATTGCTTTTCTACCTTGTTATTTTGAGGCAAGGTCTCTTAATCAAACCCAGAGGTTGCTGATGTGGCTCCTCTTTCTGCATGATTTGGGGAATCCCATCTGTCTTCTGAAGCTGGGATTACAGTTAGGCCACCACACCGACCTGACACTAGTGTGGGTTCCCGGAATCCAAACCTTGGCCCTCATACTTGCACAGTAAGCACTTAAACCACGGAGCTGCCTCCTTGATCCCCTTCCCACCATTTTGTTCTTATTCATAGGTAACATACAGTGTCAGCTATATATTTCATGTAGTCTCCTCTGTGGTGCTAGAGACTCTTCCCACTCCAACCTCTGTCTTTTCAGCTAGCCTGACCCAGAGAGGGTGTTTGATTAATAGTTGTTAAAAATACAAGCACATTCTATTAGCGACAGATAAAGCGGTACAATCTCATCTGGAATCGTCACACTCCAGGGTCTCAAGCTAGCATTGTATTTGGTAGAAAACAGTGTCCTTGCTTTTCATGATAGGTGTACGTAGCAGCTATGAATACATAAACAGGTTTATATCACCATAACTTCATACGGGTCACAGAACTCAAATCATTGGATACCCACTGTATAAGTAAATTCTGAAGTTTCAGATCTCAGAAACTATATTTAACTCACTAAAGCTAATTTATTCATGAATTCATGTGACAAAAATCTATCGAATACTTACAATGGGTGTGGTGTTAGCTAAGGTGCTATGTTTGAGTTTTGAAAACCCAACTTTACACTTCACTGTGAAAGCCATATTTTGCTGTAATAGATAAGAAAAACTTATCTTTAAAAAGAAAGCTTTGCTTTTCTCCACTATTATAAATCTTATTTATTTAACTCAAAGGTCCTCAAGAAGAAGTTCTCATAGTAAAGCTTTTGAATAAAGTTTCAGACAATTCAGGCAATTTTAAAAGTAAATATTTTTTCTATGGAGAATAAGGGACAGAAACCCCACTGAATTTAGCAATACTGAATGCTCACTATTACAAAAATTAAGTAGTTACTAGGGCCTAATTGTGGGCAGCTTGTTGCTTCCTCTACAAACCCAAACACAGAGGGAAATCTTCCTTGCTGGAAGCCACGGCCATTCACTCATTCACTCATGCCAGTTTTCCACAAAGCCAGCAGCCTTTGCCGGTCTACTCCCAGCCTCAACCTGCCCTTCCTTTTTTTTCCCTCTGGGTTCCCTGTTTCCATCTCGGGAGCTCCCACCTGCTGTGGCCCTCCACTTGGAGGGTTTTATCTGTGTACCCTCCCTCTTACATGCCCTTTCTCTGAACTGATTTACAGCCCAGGCTCATGAAGTAGGCTTCCTTCCCTCTGCTGTGCCGTTCCTGTGATGTGTCGCCCTCTCCTTCACCACCCAACTTATTAAAAGACAAGTCTGCTGGCACCACTTGCCATCGTCTCGAATTCTTCTTCCTTGTGGCATACAAAGCCCAGTTTCCCCGTGGTACCATGGTTTATTCCTTTTGGCCCCACAGGTCAATTTTCAAATGTCTTTTACTTCCAAGTCTTCTGAAAAATAAAAACCAAACTTTTAAAAGGAAGCTCATAATAATGGAAGAGATAAAACATCCAAGCTACTTTAAGGCAAGAAAGGGCATCCACGTAAAACAAATGGCTGGCTGGCTGCAGCCTGCAGGGCAAGGTATGGCCATTTACCAGCCTGAATTACAGATCCAAGCTGCACCTTTAACCTCTCCAGGCCAAACGTTAGAAAAGCAGGGCATGGCGTTTGAAAAATATCTCATTTACATGAGAAGGGAAATCAGAAATTCTCAAGTCATCCATTGTGCTAGCCTGCAATTCTTTCTCTAACCAGGTTATTATTTACTTTGGTAAGTTCTAATATTTTTTAGCTTTATTATAAGAAATTTACATATATGGTTTTTCTTGCAAATACAAAGATAACTTTTTTTTTACTATAAAGAAACCAAAACCTCTTAAATGACTTTTACATCCATCAGAAAGAGATATGACTGGAGCAATAAGAGAATAAAATACTAAGATTCAAAATTCATTTTTATAAATCCTCATTTAAATCTTGGGTGAGATCCAACAACCTCACATTAAAATTTTAGAAGGCTTGACTTGAAGGACATGGGGCAATTTATTTTATATTGACAGCTTCCAGGGCACCTGGCCCATATATCATCATCAATTTTTTAAAACGATAAACGAGAAGGAAAAATCATATGTGGATGGCCTTCGTTTTATTATTTTCAGTACACCAATGTAATAATGCAATCTTTGCCCAAAGAACAAAATTTTTAAAAATTTAAGAAAAAGAGGTAAATCTTTGGTCTCTATGTGTTGTACGTTTATTTGTACAGATTTGATTATGACAGGTTTTTCAAAGAGGCCCAGGGCAGCCCATTTGGGTTCTGACAAAAATTCAATAGACTGAGGTATTATGACTAAAATGTGTCCCAAGAAGGTTAATCCACTCATACGATTTCAATAAAGTACTGAGCTATTAGCATAAAGGTGCATTCCCTCCTATGGATACTGCTGGAGAAATACAGACTCCAGGGAACCAGGCTGCGGTGGACACACATGAATATGCCATCTCGATTCCTCTCTCTCCCCCAACCCTACCTTTATTGCGCAGAGGAATTTAAGCATCTATAGACTCTGGGTGCTTTTTGGTGTCCTGGTTCCTAGACATCACCGGAGAGCCGGACATTTGCCAAATTTCCTCCGAATGCTGCACTGGGAAGGAAAGCCGGGACTCTGCTGACCCGAGATCTTATCACCATGGGTCTCAGGAGATTTCAGTTCCTAAATGGACCTTCTAACCATTGTGAAAGCCGGGAGAGTGGATAGCAGAAATTAAGTATCCCGTTTCCCAAGGAAAAACACCCAGGAGAACGTAAACCATGTCTCGGTATGGGCTTTTTCCTCGTTTTTATCTCCCTCCCAATCTCTTTCTTTTATTTTTAAAGCCCCAACCCCCTTAAACACCTCCAGAGTTTATTCTAAAAGAAGCAACACAAAGACTACCCATCTTTCAGCCAAAAGGGCTTCAGTATGTCAATGTGGAAGACTTGGTGATAAAAGTTGTGGGCAAGGGAGAGGAAGGTGACCATTAAACACCCTTCTCTTTGGGCTAGACAAGAGATAAACAATAGAAATTGCAGAGTCAGGCAGTCAGGGATCCGACGGAGGAGGGGCTGGAAAGTGTCAGGAAAGCTCCCTTCAGAACCAGGGACACCAGCAGTCTCCAAAGGTGACCATTATCCTGTTTTCCTGCCATGTGCCTCAAAGCAAACCGCTCACTTCCACATGCCCGTATTATGAGGTCAGGGAAAAGGGAAGCGAGAATCCCTACACGCAGCCACCCAAGACCAGAAACAGAACAGAAACTGTATGTACTCAGACTTGCACGGTAGAAATAACCGACAGTGTCCAACAGTGTTAGCTGGTGGCAGCAAGTCAGGATCGCTGGATGTGGGGCGCAGTTTGGGGAGCGTGGATCCAATTGCACACTACTCACTCTTACACTGGATTTTACAAACCCGGCCTTAGCCTACTGCTTCTCTCCACACTTCACACACTAAGTGCATCCTGCCCACCTCACGGTTTCCATCATCAGTCAGCCAGAGAGGAGGGATCCTAGCGGGGATTCCTGGAAATGTCATCCCCTACACCTCGGATCCTCCACCTCCATCCCCACTGCCAACACACAGACACACACACACAGACACATACACACACACACACACACACACACACACACACACACACACACACACACACACGCTCTGCCATGACTGTCATCAGGCCCGCTCTTCTCAAAGCCGGGTATCTCAGCACGCACAGGACTCCTGGTATCTCTTTGGTACACACCCTTCCCCCGCCTCGCTGGTTCCAGGCATTGCCCCCTGGATGTCGCCCGCAATCCCTGTTCATCCTCACTATTGTTCCACGCAGCACTCCTCGCTTCCAGGATCGCCCTTTCCAGAGCAACCAGGCTCCGTCCGGAGCATCGGGCTCCCCGCACTCACCCAGCCCGCCCTGGCGATGGTACCTTGCCTGACAGCTGGGTCCGCGGGCCCGCGGGAGCAGGCGGCGCTAGTGACAGCAACCGTGCCAAGCCTGGGAATAAAGCTGCTCTCCAGCCGCTCCCGCCTCCAGCGCCACCATCTTCCCCCGCCGCCACCGGGACCGCAGCCGCCCGCGCCCCGCTCGCTCCGGCTCTAGCTCGGCAGCCGCTCGGGCCCCTCCGGCCGCGGCCCCACCCCCTGCTCGCCGCCCGCTCGCCCTCGTGACGCGCGCCGGGGCCGGGCGGCTGCGACTGACGGCGGGGGGAGCGCGCGCACGCCGCGTGCAGCAGCAGCGCCCCTGCCTCCCACGCCCACCCGCGTGCTCGCGCGGCGCGGTCCCGACGCGTCGGCGCAGGAGTCCCGCTCCGGCGCGCGTGAGCGTGCGAAGTGTCCGCGCCCCTCACCGTGGCCGCGCCTGCATTCAGAGCGCGAGTCCCTCCCTTTCGTGGCCGGGATCCTGGAGTGGACTACGTGGCTACCTCCCGCGGGGACCCACGGGGACCTCCATCGTTCCCAGCCCCAGGTCCCTAACGCTCATCCCGGGCCCGATGTCTGCATATGGGATCTGGCCACGCTTAGGACATGGAGCGGAGCAGTCGCCTGGACGGCAGCGCGTGTCCTCTTGTTAGTGACACCGGGCTTTCCCGCTTCCAGAGTCTGAAACCCCCGCGGCGCCTCCGAAAAGGCTGGCAACGCGGCTCCGCACTCCGCATGTGGCCGCTAGGGGGCGCCCGCGTGGACTCGAGCGGAACAAGCTGTCCACCTGGTCGCCCACCGGGGGCGCTGCCCAGTCCCACTCCACCCTGAAAGCGTCTGGAAGGCGGGGTCAGGAAATGGTCCACTTGGCTTCTCCATGCCGGTTGCTAGGAGCTTCAAAGAGTCTTCCAGCCCGGCACGCGCGATCCGCTCGAAATATGACTGGGATCTCAGGAGGGTGGGGACCGTTTGCATCAGGGACCAGGTGGCAGGTGCTGTGTCTTAATGAAAAGCTGGACTAGCCCCCGGAGGGTGGGTTCTGGCGCTAACTCCACGCGTAATAGATGGTGTGGTAGCTACATCGTTCCCTTGTTCCGGACAGAGTTCTCAATTTAAAAATTGAATCATATTTCCCCGAAACCTTTTACTTTTCCCGTCTCTCTTCGTACACTTATTCTCGTCTAGCGAAATGAAAATAAAAAGCCTTGCTTATCCGACCCCAGGAGAGATGAGCATATCGTTGCATGGTGTTTCCGTATTGAGCACAGAGCTTCCAGAAATATCTGCGGGTGTAGCCTGAAGCTTTAAAATTCATATGAATTTTGCATTCTACTTCATAATGAATTTCTTTGCTTTGACAAAGAAGACTATATATAGCTTCTCCTGTCCCCTAAATATAATAAAACATACAAGAAGTATGTGCCATTGTTGCTTGTCCTGTAACATTCATTACCTATTCATTTTGTCAGTAGAGATACTCTCACCGGTGAAAGCCAGATGGTGTCCTTTTTCCCTCCAGAACTCATAGCATCCTGGGGAAAATGTTACACAATCCAGAGCAACTGTGAACTTTCCAACTGCGAAGGTGCAGGGCAGGGGCGGGGGGGGGGGATCTGATGTTGACTGGGCTGCCTGAGGAAAAGGCTTTCCCAGTCAACTGCCTGAGGAAAAGTGCGAGGACCCCTCCGGTGGGCCTGAAGCACAGGGGGCCTCAGGCAAGCGGTAGTCACAGCTTTTACTTCTTGCAGTAAAAGAGGGGACTAGGGGGTGTTGAGAGTTGGGATTTATCCAGCAAGCACAAGCTGGATCATTTGTGTCCTTGAAAGGTGTGTGAGGCAGCTCCATGGAGAGAGGGAGAGAGCAGCTCAGAGGCTCAGAGTCTAGGGCAGGAAAACCGAGTCAGGACGAATCCGGAATCCCTTGCCCTGCCTGCTTGGTGAACGCTTTCTGGGTTAGGTGTATCTTCTAGCTGGCAGCTCTGTTAGTTTTTGCTTTTGCTCTCATTTGTACTCCTTGGGCAGGGGGCGATTTCAGAGTACATTTCTGTCATTACTTCTGTTTCCTTAGTGTAGGTTTACGGTGCTTATCTGATTAAGTTTTAGGTTAATTAGGAGAGTACAGGTCCTTGGTGAGAGGCGCACGTTGATGCTGTGGTAGTTAAATCTTCATCATCCTGACAGCTCGCGAGTCGCTTTAGAGATCCCTTCTGATGAAATTTCTAGGTTGATTTGACAGAGCGGGAAGGCCCACCCTAACTGTGGGCGGCACCTTTACACAGACTGACTCTGGACCGGATGGGTTTAAGGAGAAGCTGCGTGGAGCCCAGCCCCGAGCTTCTCACTCCCCCTCCTCGCAATGGAGTCACTGTGACCAGCCACCGCAGTATGCAGGCCTCCAGGCTTGCTCCACCTTGATGGAGGCTTCCTTCCTTCAGTTGCTGTTGCCTGGCTTTTTGTCATAGCAATTTCAAGAAAAGCAAGTAATGCAGGTGTATCAACTTGCTACCATTTGGCTTGCCAGCTCATTTTTTTTTTCTTCCTGTGTGTTGTGTGATATTCCCACCAAACTCTGAGTAACAGAAACATTGTTGCTTTACTGATTTTTTCCCCTCAATCTTAGATCACAGGGGTTTGGTGTAGTTAAAGCAAATGTGTAAAAGCACTTTGCTAGCATCACTATAATGGCAGCTATTTGTCAGTGTTTGTATAGGGAAATCTTCCTTTCAACGGGAACATAGATGTCGTTGGTCCTTCTGGATGGTGTATTTGTGCCTTATCTAGCAGGAAGCTCCAAACCACATTTGTAGTTCAGTGTAGGAAATGGAGGGGCCCATATGGCACTTATATTACACCCTTCCTTTGGTATTAGTCTATCTATAGATTCCCTGGGTCTGCGTTACCGGTATTTTTCTATCTTGTTATTGATACTCTTATAAGGACTTCAAATATTTATGTTCACCTTCTGTTATTAACAAAAGCCAAAACTACTATTGTCTGCTTCAAAGGGCAGGATATAAAATGCTGGCAAACCGCCTGCCATTGTAGCAGGTTACAATCTGTAGACAGGGTGCCAAGTGACTAGAGTCCAAGTTAAAGCCTTACCTGCTGCTGCTTGGTGGGTCACAGTCTGCATGCCAGTTTAAAGTCTCATATTAGGGACTGTCGGCCCATGGCTCCTAGATAATGAGTCTCTCAAGGACCATTCCTGACTTCTCCACCAGCCCTGAGCCCGCCCCTCTTACCCTCTGAGTACTGTTTACAACTCAAGAGGGAAGGTAGGGGTTCATGAACATTTTATTTATTTAGGTTTTTTTGTTGACAGTGAGGTTATGAGATCCAGTAACGTCATTGGAAAGCCACAGGTATGTGAGCATATCTTCTGTGGTTTGATGTGGCTGTAGGCAAACCAAGCTGTGCTCACCTCTTCTGACAGCAGGTGCTACTGTCCCTTGATTTTGATGTTTTCAGGTGACTAGTGTCTTCCTGTCGTAGTCTCTGAGTTTGAGTCTTAAAAGCTGAGACAGCATATAGGACAATCACACAAATAACCTTTGGCAATGCACTTCCCCTGACTTGATAGTCCAGCAAACTATCTAATTACTGTACAATATAGATATTTTTGTCAAAGCGTTTAAAATGCATGGGTAAAGTAAAATGATGAACTATATGCATCCTAAACTTCCACAGGCTTGCCCTTGTATGTCATTTCCTCTTCCATCAGCCTTTCCTCTGGGTGGAAGTCCTGCCCTGACTACACAGCATCACTTCTTTTCTTCTCTAATTCCCAAACAGGTCAGACTTAGTCAGTCACACCCACGTGCTCACTATGATTCCAACCATAATTTTGTACTGTAACTGTGTTTGGCTGACATACTGGGAGATGCCCTGGTGCTCTGTGGAGTAAACCCACCTCCAAAGTGATGTTTCTTTGGGAAGCATGTTGTCAGAAGATGGAGGGTTTTATTTTATTTTTATAATTTATTTTTTAAAATTTCATTTTACAGTCCAACCTCGGTACTTCCTCCCATCCCTTCTCCTGCCTACTCTTGCCTCCTGCTCCTCACCTCCCAGCCTACCTCCGTCCACTCCTCCTCGCGGTTAAAGGATCCCATGAGGAGTCAACAAAGTCTGGCATATTAAGTTGAGGCAGAACCAAGCCCCTTGCCTTGCATTAAGGCTGAGCATGACATCCCAACATAGGGAACGGGCTCCAACAAGCTAACTCATGCACCTGGGTTAGATACTGGTCTTACTGCCAGGTGACCCTCAGATAGTCCAAGCTTCACTGCTGTCTCCCACATACAGAGGGCCTAGTTCAGTTTCATGGAGTCTCCACAGTTGTTGGTATAGAGTTCATGAGTTTCCACAAGCGTGGTTCAGATGCCTCTATAGATTTCTCCATCATAATTGACCTCCCTTGCTCATATATTTCCTCCTCCCTCTCTTCAACTGGATTCCTGGAGCTTCACCTGGTGCTTGGTTGTGAATTTCTGCATCTGGTTCCATCAATCACTGGATGAAAGCTCTATGATGATAGTTGGGGTATTCACCAATCTGATTAGAGGGGAAGGCCAGTTTGGGCATCCTCTCCTCTATTGCTAGCAGTCTTAGGTGGGATCATCCTCATGGATTCTTGGCAATTAACCTAGCACCAGGTTTCTCCCAGACCCCATAGTGGCTCTCTCTATTAAGGTATCTCCTTCATTGCTCTCTGAGTACATCCCTCCCCTTCCCTCGACCATTCTGTTCCCTCATGTTCTCATCCTCCCTCCTCTCACCTTTACCACCCCCCTGCCCCAGTTTACCCAGAAGATTCCATCTGATTTTCCCTTCCCAGGGTGATCCATGTGTCCCTCGTAGTGTCCTCCTTGTTACCTAGCTTCTCTGGAGCAGTGGATTGTAATCTGGTTATCTTTTGCTTTACATCTAATATCCAATGATGAGGGAATACATAACTTGTTTGTCTTTCTGAGTCTGGGTCACTTCACTCAGGATGGTTTTATTCTAGTCCCATACATTTGCCTGTAAATTTCATGATGTCATTGTTTCTTACAGATGATAATACTCCATTATGTAAATGTACCACATTTTCTTTTATCCATTCTTCAGTTGTAGGTTGTTTCCAGGTTCTGGCTATTAAGCATAAAGCTGTTATGAACGTTGTTGAGCAAGAGTCCTTGAGGTATGATTGAGCATTCTTTGGGTATATGCC